GTTTGTACTTACGGTTGTCATTTCTTGATTCTTTTCAATCAAATGATGTTCGCAATTGCTCTCGTTGCGCTCTTTCTCTTTCTTTCTCTCTCTCTCTCTCTCTCTCTCTCTCTCTCACTTTCTCTCTTTCTCTCTCTGACTCAGCAACTCACTCACTCTATGCATGACACGAAACGTGCCACTTGACGCAAAACATTATTATCTTTCTCTCTCTAACTCACACTTTATGTCTTTCTACNTTTTTCTTCTTTCAACGCGATCGTATATGTATGCCATCTTGTGGCAGGCATACGAACATGCACACTATTTGATACGACGACGAAGAGGACATGACGTTTCTGAACGTAAAATTTCACACACATTTTCGTTTTCTTTTATTATCTCCGTTCAGAAGCCACAGACCGAAAAAACGTAAGAATACTGTTTTAAAAAATTTTTTTTTTTAATCGATTAAGACCAAAACGAAATAAATCGGTTCAGTCGTTACTTAAATATTGTCCTCAGAAAATCTCCCCACTACTAAAATGCATGAAATTCGCGTATAAGAGGCACGGTGTGCTCGCGCAGTTCGAGCGCCACTTTGTTGCGCGTGAACTTGGCGCGAGGCACTACCGTACCTCTTGATGTTGGGTGTACACAAAGTGGCTCTTACAAATTAGTTGGAGCCAGTTAGTGTGATCTCGTGTTTGGCTGATATACACTGCCGTGGTCAAAATATCCAGTGTAACACTACATGAGTGTATGCACTGCACACACTTGCACCAACTCTACACAGGTAGCACACTGGTGCAGACCAGCCGAAATCGCTATAAGACATTCTAATAGGGATTTTGACTGGTCTACACCGACTGCACATTTCGGGGTGTCGGTGCAACTTGTGTGTTTGGCTGGTCGAATGAGGCAGTTTCTTGCTAGTGCCGCGTATTCGTACATGCTGAACACGTATAATACACGCTGAACTCAGTACACCGCATAGGTGTATGTTGGGTGTACACAAAGTAGCTTTCACAAATTAGTTGGAGCTAGTTGGTATAATCGGTAATGGTGATAATTTAGGTGAAACCACGGCGTCTGTGGATGAAATTGTCATGATGAGTGATTTATTTATGCCGACAGAATTATTAACATCATCATCGTCAAGTGATGAAAATTATGCACGTTACAATGTTGTTTGTGTCTCGTGGTCTTGTGTTCGGCTGACGATATATACTGTGACGTGGTGTTCGCGCCGCTTCCCTCCCTTGCCACAAAAGTTATCTTTCGAGGGAGTCCCAAAGTGTGGGCCGGTCTTAAGCGCCGGGATCCTCCAGGGCTTACACACCGTATTACGTTTTATTTGCTTATTTCTTTTTGTTTTGTTTTTTTTCTAATATGTAAAATTGGCGCCTCACCACCCGAGGATTCACCCCGCCAAAAGACATCGAAAGAGACGAGTAGACGGGAAATCTAGCAAGAAACAAGGCGCGAGCCAGAACTCAGGGGATCGAGGAAGCGCCAGGGGCAGCGCGCAGAGGCTACGGTCCTGAATTAGGCTGCAGGCTGCAGGCTGCAAGCTGCTTTAGCTCAACCCTTTACGCTAGGGAGCGCAGGCGGCACGCGAACGACAGCGTCGCCAAGCGGCAGTAACCCCCTGCAACGATTAGCGGGCCAATCTGCCTTTTAAAGCCAGCTACCAGCTCGGAGGAGCTTCGGAGCCGAAAGAAAACCTTCTGGAGGTCCACCCAAGCCAGCCGAACACGATACGAGACAGACAAAGAAAGATCGGACAGACAAAGGAAGAACCCTGCAAAGGGGAAAAACGTCACAATACACTGCCGTAGTGGTAGTCAAAATATCCAGTGCAATATCGCATGAGTGTACAAATTGCACACACTTAGACCAACTCTACACAGGTGGCACACCGGTGCAGACCAGCCGAAATTAATATAAGACTACTTCAAGACATTACGGATACCTACTTACCGACTGCGGTAGTAAGACATCTTTGGAACATCATCGACATTTAGACGTTTTTCGGACAACATTTGCACTACAAACAGTTTTCACAGAACCGTACTTATGGGGCGCGACGCCTCGGTCTTTCGTGTTATAGATTTTATATAGTTTATCGCCTTTTTGACTACGCGAGAAAAAAGACCGGCCCAGTGGTCTCGCGGCCTGAGTGCAGGGACTGCGAGCCCGGAGGTCTCGAGTTCGAATCCGTTCACCACCTAAAAATTTTTTCCGAGCCGGTCTCTTTCAATCAAGTTTATCGATTGATCGGTGAACTAAATCGAGACTCCAAAAATTAATTCAAATGTAATCTCGAATTATTCTACCTCCCACAAGGCGATCACAGTCACATCTTGAACACGAGACCGACACAGATAGGCACGTCCACTGTGAAAGAAGGCCGTGTATCGCGTGGTAGTAGTGTATTGCACAACCTCTCCATAAAAAAGAATAAAATTTTATATATAAACCAGACTGGCGAATACTCCTCTCGTGAAAGAGTAAAGAGCCATCTAAGCGAAGAAGAAGAAATACGCGAGGAAAGACTGCATAGCAGTGTTCACAGTTTTGGCTTTTTTACAACATGCTGAAGGGATGCGCACAACTGCAGCAAATTCTACCTGCATAAACTCGCTGCTGTTGTGCGCATCTCTTCCACCGCTTCAGCATGCTGTAAAAAAGCTAAAACTGTGAACACTGCTGCATAGTGAGTAGTTAGTCGTTCTCGAGTTCTTCAAGAGTGAGCATTGCGTCCGCAATCAAAGAAGTGATAATACAAAAAGTGCGATTCAGACGATAATTACATATACGGTTAATACTACGATATCAATTATCATATGTACGTTAGTGGTAATATACACGAGCCTTGGTGATTCGTTCTGTGACAAATATATTGGTATATTTATATACGTTACTACATGTTGTTCCTTGCGGTATCTATTGTCCATCCTTTGCGTGGCGTTAACTTGTGGTCCCAGAACAGCATATTAGTGCAGCATCCTTCCTATTGGCGGTAAAAATAGGTGACGATCGTATCAAGCCGAAAAAGGTGAGTCTCGATCATTAATCAATCATAAAGCCGGTCATAACCTAACCTAACCTCTGGTATTATTAGCATTAATTGTCACTTTTTACTTTCTTTTTTATTTTTTTATTCCATCTGTTACATACTCTCATAACTAATAAATATATATTCGGTCATGAGAGCCGTTTGCTAGGTGTTGTGCGGAAATTATACGTGTATATACATATATACGTGTTCACGTGTAAATTTTTACACGTAAAATTCGAATTGNAATAACAATTCTAAAATTCATATAAAATGCTATACTTGCATCTTGTATACGAGAGATCCAAAATATCCCCCTAATTGAAATTAAATTTATATCGCAAAAATTAGGAGTGTATTTGGGATCTTTCATATACGAGATGCAAGTATAGCATCCTATATGAATTTTAGAATTGTTATTACAATTCGAATTTTACGTGTAAAAATTTACACGTGAACACGTATATATGTATATATATACACGTATAATTTTCGCACAACACCTAGCAAACGGCTCTCATGGCCAAATATATATTTATTAGTTTGGAAACTTCGGAGCCTTAAAGATTCTTTAATACTCTCATAACTTATGAATACTCTCACAAATTATATGTCTAAGTAAATTGTTGTGCAGCAATTTTTAAATAAAGTTAAGTAGAGTAAAGCCATTTAGCAATGTGATAAACCATCACTGTCGTTGCTCCCCCCCGGCCCCAGTGCGTCCGGCCGAGGATGCATTGATCGAGCGCATCTCGGCGCTGATAGATGCGAAGCTCGCGGCCCTGAACCTCCCTGTTCGGGGGGCGAGACGTGCGGGCCCGCACGGCCGAGGGGGGAGCCGCGAGTCGTCAATTTCGCGGGAAAGATCGAGGGGGGACCGAGGGCTGAGGCCAACGCCAAGGCGAAAGCTAAGTCAAAGGCCAAGCCTTTGGCCCCACCCCTTGTGGAGAAGGAGCCGGCCCCCTCAGCCGAGGGAGATAGGAGTATTTCAGGGCCCTCGTCCTCCATTGCTGGAGACGAGGCACCCTGGAGCAAGGTGGTGGGCCGAAAGGCTAGACGGGCGGCTGGGTCAGCGGCTTCTAAAACCGCCCCCAGCCGTCCGAGGAAAGGTGCAGCACCCGCCCCAGGGGCTAGCGCAACTGCGCAACCCTCTGGAGGCGGAAAGAAGAGGAGAGTCAGGCTCCGGGTGCCCAAATCGGCAGCGATAACGCTGTCGATTGACCCGGCACACCCTGGAGCTCTGACAGTTGATGAGGCGGTGCGCCGGTGCCTTGAGGCGATCCCACTGCCTTCAGTGAGTACTGCCCACGTGAAACCCCGGCGCACCATGACCGGTGATCTCATGATTGAGGTCACCGGTGACTCTATGGCCGAGAAGGCAGATGCCCTCTCGGCCAGAATGAAGGAGGTTCTCCGGGATACGGGGGTCATCGTTCGCCGCCCGGCGCGCAAGAGCGACTTGCGCGTCTCGGGATTTGATGGCTCCGTATCCCTGGAGGAATTAAAGGCGGCCCTGGCGTCGGCCGGAAATTGCCGGGAGGCGGAGATCCGTTTGGGCAAGGCTCGGACTCTGCCTTCCGGCTTAAGAAGAGTCTGGGTGCAGTGCCCCGTGGCTGTTGCCAAGAAATTGGTAACAGCCCGCAATGTAAAGGTGGGGTGGGTATTTGCCCGCGTGGAAGCGCTCAAGGCCCGCCCCCTGCGGTGCTACCGGTGCCTAAGACCGGGGCACACGGGGCACTACTGCCCCAGAAGTGAGGCGGACCGCAGCGGTCGCTGCTACCGTTGCGGTCTCAGTGGGCACCTGCTCCGGCAGTGTAAAGCTCCGGAGCCAAGGTGCCCATTGTGCGGAGATTTGGGGCGCCCATCCCGGCACGTGCTGGAAGGCCCCAACTGCCGCCCTCCTCCGGCCACGACTGGTGGCTTTGCCACCACGTTCGTGAATCCGGCCAAGCTGGCGGAGGGGGTGGCAGGAAAGCGCAAAAGGAGGAAAAGTCCATCGGACGGGGATTTTCCATCTGCTGCGGGAGGATCTTCTTCCCCGCAGCCGGGGGTCTCCGTCTTGATAGACTGTGAGTCGGCGGAGGCGAGCGTCGGTCCCCCTTGTGGGGTTGCCGCCTCCCTGGCTCCATTACCGTTGTCGCAAAGTGCGGAAAAGGGTGTTCCTCCCTCTGGCTCCGGGGGGACTTGTTCTCCCGGTTCCAAGGAGGACACCCTGTCTCCATCGCAAAGGGAGAGGAGGACGACCCCCCCGATACTGTCCTCTTTAGCTCTCTCCAAGGGGCTGAAGATGGACCCAAGCAGGGCGCTCGCGGCCCTGCTTGGATCGGGGGGAGGGGGCAAAAAAAAGATTTGTCCTGGGCCTGCCTGCTCCAAGCCCAAGTAAGGGCTTGGTAGGCGGCAGCTCAGGGCTAGTGCGGGGGGGGAGGGCCATAGCTTGCTATGGCCAATTAACGGAGACGGGTCCACCCCCTCGGGGGTGTTTGACCCGGGGCTTTGGCCCAGCGGCGGCGAAGCGAGGCTGTGTCCCCT